AAATTCTTCTATCATTGATGTGCATATTTTTGCCAATGTATCATGTAAAATCTTTTCCCCCTTTTTCTTTAAACACATTATTGGATGATAAAGTTACGATATTGTATTTTTAGAGACGATGAATAATGAAGAACCCAAGTAGAAATCAGGTTCAACATGGGGGCAGGAGAGAGACAGGCAGGACACTTAATTCAGCTTGTTGGGAAATTTTGTAGCAATTTACAAGTTGAAGTTAAGCCGAGATGGTTCCTTATCTTCACTTGTTGAAATTTGTAGCAATTTACAAGTTGAAGTTGAGCCGAAATGGTTCCTTATCTTCACTTGTTGAAATTTGTAGCAATTTACAAGTTGAAGTTAAGCTGAGATGGTTCCTCATCTTCACTTGTTGAAATTCGTAGCAATTTACAAGTTGAAGTTAAGCTGAGATTCTTCCTTATCTTCACTTATTGAAATTTATAGCAATTTACAAGTTGAAGTTAAGCTAAGATTACTGTTTCTCTTTGCTTATTTAAATTCGTAGCAATTTACGAGTTGAAGCAAATCCGAGGTTATTGCTTAAACACTTGTAGCAATCTATAGGTTGGTTAAACCAAAGAAGATGCTTAACACTTGTTGAAATTTATAGCAATTTACAAGATAACGTTAAGCCGACATATAATCATCTGTTGAAATTTGCAGCAGTTTACAGGTTAAGGAAAAAGCTAAGTATGTTGTTTAAACACTTGTTGAAATTCGTAGCAATTTACAAATAGATTATTGTTTAACACTTGTTATGTTAATCCTTGTTGATCCCTGTTACAGTATATGTTAATTCTTATTAAAATTTGTAGCAATTTACAAGTAGGCTAGACCGAGATCACCGTTTAAACACTTGTTGAAACTTGAGAAAAAGTTTACAAAGTTAACATTGAGTAGTATATATTTCGCACTTGTTAGAATTTATGAAAAGTTTGCAGGTCAGTATCTTGCCGAAGTAAAAGTTTTGTAGCTATTATACCCGAGGTATGTAACCCCGAGAAGATTGCACAAAGGAGGCAAAGTACGAAAGGCATACAAAAAATTCTAAGTATAGAATCAAACAGAGGAAGTCAAAGAAAAGGCAAAAAAGAATGCAGTCATTCAAAGAAAGATAGTTATGTTAAAATATCCAACATAAACAGAAGGCACATCGGCCGTACAGAGAAGCTTCTACTGTCCAGGAAACAAAAAAGTACAAAAGACAAGAAAAGAGGGACATCAAAGTTATGATTCTTCTACTTCAGGCGCAATTTGAGACTGGACCTCAGCTGATTCTTGGAGAATTACCTCGGCTGATTCCTGGAGAGCTACTTCGACAGTCTTTTCCGCTTCGATTTTGGCGTTAATCTGCACAAGGGTTTCATCAAGACTTTTTTCGGCTGGGGGAACGTCAAATGAGGCCTGTTCAGGAGTAGTTTCCTTGGCAACTGCATCACCATCATCATCTTGAGTCAGGTCCAAGACCTGCTCATTCAGAGAAAGAGACTTAGGCCCAACAGCCTCCTTGGATTTCCTTACTAAAGCCTCATCCTTACCTTCCTCCTCATCTTCAGACTCAGATTCTTCTTCAGCTTGAGTTGGAGGTGGAGGAGGAGGAGAGAATGGGAGAGGAATAGCTTCGGCCTTGCGCAGAGGAGAATCTTCAGGAATATTGAGCTTTTTGGCCAGGGACATCCAACCAAGGGAAAAGCCCGTGTTGCATGCCTGCCTAACTTGTAATTTGTATTCCTCTGTAACATCGGTCATTCCTTGGGCATAGGCTTTTTCATCGGCCGCTTTGATTTCAGCATCTTTAGTGATTCTTGATGGCCTTAGCAGATTCGGCCTTTTCTTCGGCTAGGGTTTGGGCTTTGGTGGCAGCCTCAGCCTGGTCTTCCAGTTTTTTCATTTTTGATTGAAGAGTTTTGTTCTCCTTTTTAAGGGCAGAAACCTCCCTCTTCATGTCGGCCAACTTTGCCCTATTTTCAAAAGCTTGCATAAAGAGAGAGTAGGCATGTTGAATGGCCTGAAAGAACACAGGGCAAAAATTATTACAAAATTTTACAAAGTAAAAGAGAAGACAAGTTTCCATGTAAAGACACTTACTTGGATAGAACGTTAGAGCATAAAGGCATAGTTCTCGTACTCACTCATCTTGACATTCCGCTCAAGATCACCTGGAAGAAGTAGGGCGGTACTAAGTGCTACGCCGATATTAATGTCGTCGGTACTATCGCTGGCAAGAACAGGCTTATCTTCTAAAGTAATTTCAGGCGTCCAGGGGATTTTTGGTATTCTGGACCCCGAGGTCATCGCAGACGATGACCTCGGCTTCTTTGATTGTGTGGACTCTGATGGCTGTGTCTCAGCAGACCTTTTTTTGGGAACGGAAGCCGTCTTCTCACTCCCTGCCAATTGTGAAATTGTCAGGGTATCCTCAGCCTCAACTTCAGTGGCTTTAGCCTTTGGCTGGGCTTTCTTGGTTCGTTTCGGCTTTGGTGGGGGCATGGTTTGCGTTGGCTGAGCATTGACGTCAACAGGGAGATTGACAAGGAGGTCTTGAGCAATGGGCTTTGGGCGACCAATCTCAGCAGTTTTGACAAGTCTTCGCCGACGTTTTCGTTCTTGTATTGGGACCAAGTATGGGGCCGAAGTAGATGGTTGATTGGTTGGGTCAAATGTTGACTCTTGATCTATTCGTGATGTAGAGGCGGTTTGAGTTGTGGCAGTAGGAGGAGAAAGGCTTTTCTTCTTTCTTTTGGGGACGTCGGGCAAAATCGATTTGTATGTAGGAATAAAGTTAAGAAGAAGATGTGCTTTTATTTTGTGAACTGGCAAGTCCAGGAGTTTTTTCAGGTCCTTACTAGGAACGTAAGATTGGCGGAAGTTTTTCGCTGGCTTGCGAACGTCTGCAAGAAGAAGCAGACATTAGAAACAGATAAAATATTGACGACTTGAACATAAACAACTAAGTATTGACACTGGGCTCTTACCCTTGCCCTCTTTAACTAATCAGGGAAGAGGGTAGAGATGGGCGTCCTCGTCTGCGCCAAACTCCCAATTTCCCGAAGCAATAACATAATCATCTCCAGCCCCCTTGTTGGAGTCTAGGAGGTCGGCTACGATTTTGAATTCTACAGACCTCGGCTTAAGATAGTAAACGAAGCCTTTTTCTTTCAAGTTAAGGGCACACATGGTGTAACAATACTGTATGTCGGCTAAGGTGATCCTAACATTTTCCTGTTTAGCTAAGGTGATAATACCAAAAATCACTCGACAAGAGTTGATTGCCAGTTGCATGGGGTTCAACTTATAATAATGAAGAATCTCGCGAAAAAGGATGTTGAGTGAGGGCCGGAGTCTGCACTCAGTAAAAGCTACAATGGGAAGGGGCATGGCGTTTTCTATAGGCATGATGAAGTCGTCATCCCCAGCCAGTCTCAGGTGGACATCGGCAGGGATGGAGAACTCTTGCCTAAAGTACTCAAGTTTGGTCGGGGTATCTACCCTATGTCTCCACATATCCATGATATCGGCTTCTATTAGAAGAGTTGAAATTCAGAAAGATGTTTCTTATTGATGGGACCTCGGCAAACAGTGAAAGTAGTTGCAGGTTTTAGTTTTTTCCTAAGTTATGGGTTCTACAAACAAATCCCAAACCTAAAGCTATGAAGATGAAGATCAAAGGAACAGATTTGGAAAAGATGCAAAAAAATAGAAAAAACGAAGTCTCAAAAACAAGAATTGAGATGGGCTATCAAGAACATGAAGAATACAAAAGTATATAACCAAGAACAGTGGCAAAAGTGCAAAAAAGTGGTGAAACAGTGCGTGTGTTCAAAATATTGGCAAAGGCAAAAATCAGGGATGAATGCATTCAGATATATGATTTATGAATCAAAAAAGCTTAAAACAGTACAGTAATGGCAACAACGAGAAAGCAGAAAATCAGGAAAATGAGAACGAAAGGAATAGTAGCTTACCAAAGAAAAGGAGGCCAAAAAAGGGATTTGCCGATATCCTACGACGGTTGCAGGAGCAGAAGACTGGTGGAAATCTCGTCGGAAGGGGTGAACGGAGAAAGTTGCAGAGCTTGGGAAGCTTGAGCGATGGCGAATTTGAAAGAAAGAGTTTTAGAGAGAAAAAAAACAAGAGAACTCAGATACAAAAGTGAAGAGATGAAAGAAAGGGGGAAAGATTTTGTCAAAAAATGAAAACGGTGGTAAAAAAGTAATCAATACGCCTAAAAGAGCGCATACGTCAGACGGCGCATGGGAAGAAGAGATGACTTATGGGCGCATCACAGGCACGGGCCAGTAAGAAAGAAACGCGTGATTAAAACGGTTGAGTTAAAGTGCATGACAGTTCATGTGCGTGAGAAGTTCCTTAAAAATCTTTGATTTTTTAGGGAAAGCATGTCGGCCAGAAATGAATGATCTCGGCTGTCAAATCTTAAGCTGATTTACTGGAAGAAAATATAGGTATAGGTTCCATCACCTCAGAATGCCGAGGTAATAGAACCTAGGGGGCAGTTGTGGGGATGTATTTTCTGAATACCAACACGTGGCAAGGTGACGTCGACGTGTCAGCCGAAATGCCACGTGTCCTGGTTGTGACGCCGAGGTTATTTTGGGGAGGCCGAGGTTATCTCCGAAGATATCGGAATCCGAGATAAGCAGATAATGGATAAGGGGCAAGAGTCCTAGAGTAAAGAGAAGATTTAACTAAGATAAATATAACACTCTTAGGGAGTTTATCCTTATCTCTTGAGGAATCCAAAGTAAGCACGGAATTGGAGTCCATAGAAGTCAGGCTTCTAGTGAGACTTGGATTGAGTAAACTATAAAAGAGAGGCACCCCCATGGATCTAAGGTACGCAGTTTTATGCTTTGAGTAGTGAGTTTTGCACTTGAATATCTTTGAGAGATATACTGACTTGATCGTCGGAGTGCCCCCGGGTGGAAGAGCCACCGCCGGAGCCTTTTTCTTTCTGTTGCAGGTTAGTTGAAGCCATCTATTCTGCCGGTGCTCTCTAACTGATTAGTAGGCGGACAGTGTGGTCAGAAAATTACCCACACAGATTCAATTACAGAGTTCTTTCCCACCTTGACACAGTATACATGGGCTTGCCACTTTGCATCCTCAAGCACCTTTCCCACCTCAAATGTCATCACATGCACTTTAACTCCATTGCAAAGGTCATCTTCTTCCCAGAACCATTCTTTCCCATGACTGTCAGGAGGTTTGAGCCTGAAAGATAACACTGACATCTCAGAACCTACCCCCATTAGCACCACAGCTTGATATGTATTAATATTGCCTCCATCAGCAAGATCCTTGGCACTGAAGGTCATATAAAACCTGAGTACACAGGCAGCCTGAGACATTGACTTCAAAACCTTCACAAACTCCAACTCTTTATTTGTGTCCTTGATGCGATGGTTGTATTCATCAACTGCAAGCTCATTAACATCATTATCAGATGTATCAGCTATATCAGACGTATCCGGCAATGATGATAGATAAGTCCAAAAATCTATTTCTGGATCCATTGAACTTCAAGCAACCAACAAGAAAGAGATATATTATCAAAAAGATGCAGATAGGGAAGGGATTTCAAGTAGGGAGGAAATATGCAGAGAGAGAGAGAGAGAGAGAGAGAGAGAGGGAGATTGAGTGGGTGTCTCTCTAGAGAGAGAAAAGTTGGTGGTCTCCCTCTTGGTTTGCATGTGTGTTGCCTCTGTATCATGTGATGCTGCCGTGAGTGTGTGATGTGTGTGTGTGAGTGTTGGGTGCATGGGTTTGGTGTGTGTTTGTGAATCAGTGAGCTCCTCCCCCCCTTCCACTCGGTCTGTGTGTATCTATCAAGGTTCTAAATATCAGCCACTACGTGCCGTACTGGCCGGTTCGTACCGGAAAGTGGGAGGACCGACTCGGATACACACCGGTATACCGGCGAGAATGAATTTCGCGTCCGTAGCGGCCGATTCCCGATACGTATCGGCCTGAATCCGATACGTAAGCGATTTGTTTCCGATACAGTCCAATACGGCTGATGCTCTGTTGAAGGTTTGTTCTATGATGCTCTGTTTGTATATGTGAATGTGATGGTCTGTTTTTTTATTTTGGCTGAAGAAGTCATATATATGTGATGCTCTGTTTTTTTACAAAGGGGATATATATAAGAAGTATAAGAAGTATATGTGATGCTCTGTGAAGAAGTCACCTTCGATTGCAGCTCTGTGCAGTGCCACATAACGACCTGCAAAAATGGCCAACAGAAAATTCAAAGTAAATTTAAGTTTTTAGATGCTGTTTTAAATATTATTATTCAATCGTCTTCTCCACAGCTCATTAAGTTTTACCACTATTTCTGTGCAATAGGAAAGAATTTCATTTCGGGAGTAAGACTTCTTTTCAGCCCTTTAAAAGGAATATACATTATTTAAATTATAAAATTTTATTATTGGATGTCAACATCAACTTTTAAGAAAAATTTATATAGAAGTTATGGTAAATGTAACCAAATATTGGGTACTCTTAAAATATATATTTAAAAAGGATATATCATAAGCAGATTATCACATTTTGTGATTTTAAAATATAGACATTTTGATTAAAATGTGATAAATTAAAGTTAAAAGAGTCAAGAAATACATAAAATTGAGTTTTAGATGGATTGCTAATCACTTTTGAAATTTTACAGTCGCGACGCCCGATACCCGATACGTACCGGTCGATACTACCGATACCGATACTCCGCGATCGATACCGTTACGTTACCCGGTACCGCGATTTAGAACTATGGTATCTATGTCATGCATGGAGAGAGAGTGCATGTGTGAGAGGTGTGCTGTGGAAGGAGAGAAAGAGAGAGGTGAAGCTTGTGTCTGTGTGTGTTCAGTCCCTCTCCATGTGTGCTGGGTTTGCCGAGAGACAGAAGAGAGAAATCAGTGCCTCCCTCTATGTCCCTGTGTGCTGCTGTCTAATGGTCTTCTTCTCAATGGTGTGTTGGGTGGATGTCTCCTCCCTCTCTCTACCCATATCTGTCATGAAATGGTCCCTCTATCTGTCCGTATCAATCATCTGTATGCATGTGTTGTGTGTTGTCGCAGCTCCGTGTGTGCGTGTGATGGCAGTGGTATGTGTCTGCTGTGTGTTGTGTATGGTGTATCCCGACTGTGTGTCATGCTCTCTCTCTAAACTGTGTGTGCATGTATGTCTGGGTTCAGAGGACGAGGGAGAGAGGTTAGCCGTGTGTGTGTGCGCCGTCTGTGTTGTGTATGCCATGAGTGAGAGGTGATGAGCTGTGTGCGTGTGTGCATGCCATGAGTGAGAGGTGATGGGTGTGTGTGTGAGCTGCTGGGTGTATGGCAGTGATGGGTTTGTGTGTGCCGTGAGTGTGTATCAGTGAAGCTCAGTGTGTGTGCGGTGAAGCATGGATACATATGTGTGTGTGCTGTGTGTGTGTGAGTGTGTGTGCTGGGTTTGTGTTAGAAAGAGAAGAGAGAGAGAACTGGTGCATGTCCGTGTGTAGGTGTGCATGGGTGTCTCTTAATGGTTTCTTCTCCCTCTCCCTAAACCCGTGTGTGCATCTGTGTGTGTGAGTGCTCCGTCTGTCCTCCCCCGACCCCAAAGAGAAGTGTATGTCTGTGTATCAGTGTGTCTGTGAGTTCCCCTTGTGTGTGCTGAGTCTGTGTGTCTGTTGTGTTATGCCATCTGTGTGTGGGTGTTGTGTGAATGAATGTGTAGAGAACCAGCCCCGAGAGAGGAGAGAGAGATCAGTGCATGTCTTTTTGTTTTTCCTCCTCCAAAAACCCTCCGTATGTGTGTGCTCTGGTCTCTTCCCCCTCCTTTTGCTTCAAACAAGTTGGAAAATATAAAGAGAGAGATTTTTTTAATTGTTTATCACCCACCATGCCAACAATTATAAAAAATTCACACCCCTGGTGTCTACCGACCTCAATTGTTAGGTGTTTTCTCTCCACCCACTTTCACCTGCCCTCCTCTTTTTTTAATTTCCTCCACCACTTTTCAAATCCACTTCACCAAATTATTTTCCACCCAAAATTTATCATGACAATGTCCTGTTCCCCTTTGAATCCAGCAAAAACAAAATCATTTTCTATCCCAAAACCCATTATCCTCATCTGACCCTCTCTTTTTCTTTTCTTTATTTTCTTTTTCATTTTTTATTTTTTTTTTGTATTTTTTTATTATTTTATATAAAAAAACACCTAAAAATGTGTACACACACATAAAATTAGATAAAAATTATAAAATACTAAAAATTGATAAAATATTAATTATATAAAATAATTTGACGACCTCAATTGTTAGGTGTTTTCTCTCCACCCACTTTCACCTGCCCTCCTCTTTTTTTAATTTCCTCCGCCATTTTTCAAATCCACTTCACCAAATTATTTTCCACCCAAAATTTATCATGACAATGTCCTGTTCCCCTTTGAATCCAGCAAAAACAAAATCATTTTCTATCCCAAAACTCATTATCCTCATCTGACCCTCTCTTTTTCTTTTCTTTATTTTCTTTTTCATTTTTTATTTTTTTGTTTGTATTTTTTTATTATTTTATATAAAAAACACTTAAAAATGTGTACACACACATAAAATTAGATAAAAATTATAAAATACTAAAAATTGATAAAATATTAATTATATAAAATAATTTGACCAAAATAGGTGAGGTTTGGGATTAAAGCTTCAATTTGATTTTTCGGCTGAGAAATTCATAAAATGACATATTCTAATTTTTATCAGCGGGTGGTCAAAAGAAAGTGCCCAAGTCTTAGGGCTGGTCAAAATGGGGTGTCTACAACTATTCACCACCGGAGGTTACTATTTACCGCCAATCACTATTCATGTGGCGGGGTCACATTTTAAAAAAATTAGGTGGTTTCGACCAACCATTTAAAATAGTAAATTACAACAACTTATGTAGGTGGTGTGGCACCGACCATTCAAAGTTGTAAATTACAACAGTTTATTTAAAGTAATAAATTATAACAATTTATGTACAACAGTAATTATAACAAATATGTGGGTGGTGCAACCTTCCCTTTAAAGCAGTAAAATAGTTCTATAAAAAAATAATAAATTACAACAGATATATGGGTGATATAGCCTTCTCTTTAAAGCAATAAACAAAGCGATAAATAAAGCAGTAAAAGAATTTAAACAAATTATAATACATTTTTAAATTTAAATGAAAGTTTGTGAAAATTCACTTTTTGGAGAAATGATAAATTTTTTCTGATTTACAAACTTTCTTCCAATCACCCTCAAGGTTGTGGAATGTGTTCTCAATTGTCAATCCAAAATTTAGAATTTTAACTTTAATGGAGTTTTGGTGTATTGTTGAAAAGGAAACATAGAGAATGAAAAGAAAGGTTTGGTTTAGAAAAATAAAATATCCAAGAAAATATTTTTCTTTTTTTTTTCTTTCTGATCTTTTTTTTCCTGATTATTTTTTCCTCTTAGTTTTTCCCTTTCTTTTCTGATTATTTTCTTTTCTCATCTCCTCACCCCAATTCTTCTCTCCCTTTTGATTCCCTTCTGCCTACTTCTTTTATAGGCAAGAACCTTAACAAACAAATTTTGAAATGGTGAAGCTGATGAATTTTTCAAATGGTGCACAATGAAAACACTAAGCAAAGTTGGAATTTTCAAACGGTGGAATGATTTTCAAAAGGTACATAGTGAAAATACTGTGCACTTTATAATATAATAATATATGAAAGGTATTATTAGCATAAATATATGTACAAATGCCCAAAAAAATATATAAATACACAAACATATGTAAAATTATAAAATAAAAATAAATAGACTAATAAAACACATTTTAGCGGGCCAAATATGTAAAATTTAGGCTAAAACCGATTTAAAACAATTTGGCCAAAATGGATGAATGCTGGGATTAAAGCTTAAATTTCATCTTTCCATTGAGAATTTTGTAAAATAGCATATTCTTATTTTTATTATTGGGTAATAAAAAAAAAACGACCAAGTCTTAGAGTCAGTCAAAATAGGATGTCTACTGTAGATAGTGGATGTTAGTAAAGGGCCAACATTTTGGAATCATTTTTTGGAAATCTTCTACGACAAGTACTTCCCACAATCAATCAGGGACAGGAAAGCATTAGAGTTCTAAGCACTTAAACAAGGTGGGGGCACAGTAGCGAAATATGATGCAAAGTTTACGGATCTAGCCAAGTTTGCTCCACACATGGTTAATTCCGAGTATAACAAAGCAAGGAAATTTGAAGAAGGGCTTAGAGGACTGCTCCGGCACAAAGTAAATCTTTTCAAATTTCCTACATATACGGAAGTTTTGGACAGGGCAATCATGGTCGAGCTCAATGCAAAGGATGAATAGCAATCCAAGGAATAGAATAATAAAAGAAAGGGATATAACTCGAGAAAGGGGCTAGCAAATTTGCCTGTCAAGAAGCCCAGTGTATGAACCACCAATGGTACCAATCAAGGGAGCAAGATTATTCCAATTTGTCCGGACTGTGGAAAGAATCATTTTAGAGTGTGTCGGCGAGCTTCAGGAGCTTGTTTCGAATGTGTTTAAATGGGACATCAAGTAAATGATTGCCCAAAGGCTCAGAAAAATTCTTCAAAAGGCACTAGTAGTTCATCGGGATCGGTCCAAAGGCCAGTTGCTTAGACTAGCACCACAGGGAAAGAACCGGTGAGACAAGCAAGGGTGTTTACCCTGGTCCCCGGGGATGGTTAGAGTACGGATCCCGTTGTATTAGGTATACTCTCCATTTATGCTCATGATGCGTATATTTTGATAGATTCAGGCTCCACACATTCATTTGTATCTAGTCAATTTGTGAATAAATTGAATAAATTGCCAGAACCCTTGAATTTTCTAATGTCAATATCTACATCGTCAAGTGAATCTATGATATGCACATCTATTTATCGGGATTGTGAAATATTAATTGGGAATGTTAGCTTGATTGTTGATTTACTGCCTATAGAAATGAGTCATTTTGATGCTATTTTGGGAATATATTGGTTGTCAACCAATTATGCTACAATAGACTATGTATCAAAGTCTATCTCATTTCAACCACCAAGTCAATAAGGATTTTCTTTTCAAGGTAGAGGTGTAGTACCACCACCATATCTCATTTCATCCATAAAGGCATGTAAACTACTTAAGAAAGGGTGTCGAGGATATTTGTGTAGTGTTTTAACTATACAGGGATCTGATAAGTATTTTAAACGACATACTAGTAGTAAGAGAATTTTCAGATGTGTTCCCTGAATACCTACTGGACAATTTGATTGATAGATAAATTGAGTTTACAATTGATGTTGCATCGGGAACTCAACCAATTTCCAAGACTCCTTATAGAATGTCGTCAGCAGAGCTAAATGAGTCAAAAATGTAATTGAAAGATTTATTAGACAAATGCTTCATCTGACCTAGCACTTCACCTTGGAGTGCACTAGTTTTATTTGTGAAAAAGAAGTATGGAACTCTTTGTCTATGCATTGACTACAGAGAACTGAATAAGGTGATTATCAAAAACAAATACACATTGCCAAGAATTGATGATTTGATTTATCAACTTCAAGGGGCACAAGTCTCTCCAAGATTGATATTAGATCGAGATATCATCAGCTCAAAATTAAAGCAGAGGATGTTGAGAAAAGGATGTTTAGAATAGGTATGGCCATTAAGAGATTTTGGTTATGCCATTTGGGGTCACTAATGCTCCAGTATCATTCATGGATTTGATTAATAGAATTTTTAAACCTTATTTGGATGAGTTTGTTATAGTCTTCATTGATGACATTTTGATTTAATCTAAAAGTGAAGGGAACTATGAACAACATTTGAGATTGATCCTTCAAACTCTTAGAGATAAACAATTGAATGCAAAGTTAAAGAAACGTGAGTTTTGACTATCTAGTGTGACATTTTTGGGACATGTTATTGATAAATAAGGCATTTCTGTTAATTCCTAGAAAATTGAAGCTATAGTAGACTGGCCAAGGCCTATTAATGTAACAAAGGTTCAGAGTTTCCTTAGTTTGGCAAGTTATTATAGGAGGTTTGTTAAGGACTTCTCCAAGATAGCAGTGCCACTCACTCTATCGACACAAAAAGCAACACTGTTTGAGTGGATAGAAGAAAAAGATCCTACCGTTCAAGAGTTAAAGACTAGACTGATCACAGCGCCAATCCTTGTATTACCATCAGGTATTAAAGGGTTTATTATCTACAGTGATATGTCTAATAAAGGAATGGGGTGTGTTTTGATGCAGAACAACAAAGTCATTGCTTATGCTTCTCACCAATTAAAGCCGCAGGAGAAGAACTATCCAACTCATGATTTGAAACTGGTAGTTGTTGTTTTTGTGTTAAAGATATGGCTTCATTACTTATATAGGGCTACATGTGAGGTGTTCACATACCATAAGAGTGTAAAATAGTTGTTCACTCAGAAGGAGCTCAATATGAGGCAAAGGAGATGGCTGGAGCTGATGAAGGATTATGATTTGCAGATACAATATCATCCTAGCAAAGCAAATACAGTAGCAAATGTCCTTAGCCTAAAGTCAATGGAGAATTTGGCATGCCTAGTCACTAAACAAGGAGATATACTTTAAGACCTTCAAAAAATGGAGATAGAATTGGTCCTACATGAAACGGGAGGAACTTTAGCTGCAATCCCAGCCGAACTAGCCATCATTGAAGAAATCAAACAAAGACAAATGGAGGAGGCCTACTTCAAGAAGATTTTTGAGGAAATTGATTCAAAACCAAGACCGACATTTATAGTTAAGGATCAAGTGC